TTTATTAGTTTTATATAAATGTTTAAAACTAATACATTTTAGTATACATCTTTTACATTACATTTCGGGTCGGTAAACTAACATACACTTCACAAGGATAACCAGGTTTTCAGTATACATCTTTCACATTACATTTCAGATCGGTAACCAACGTTTAGGAAAATATGGGATTTTCCTGGGATAACAATTGAACATAACCAGAACCGTGTAACTTAACAAATAACTAAACATACATATAAGAAAATATGGGATTTTCTTGGGTCGTAACATTTTCAGAAATCAAAAGGAAACTCGTACATTTTCAGAAAACAAAACCGCTTATGAACTCACCAGCTTTATGCTGATTTTTAAAATGCTTGTATTCTCAGGTCCGCATTAGACAAGTACCCGATGATCCTTTTGCCGAAGACGGAGTGCGTTGAAGACACGTCTTGCTTTTGTTCATATATATATATATATATATATATATATATATATATATATATATATATATATATATATATATATATGTATATATATATATATATATATATATATATATATATATATATATATATATATATAACTTCACTATTGAACAAATGTATATTCTCATATGTAATGTAATGGTTGTTTACTTTGCTTACTATGTGCACTGGATTTGATACTCAACGTGGAGTCCGCCCCGGAAATGTTTCCGCCTTGGTCTTCGGGGTGTGACAGTTTAATACATGTTACCACTAGAAAATATAATTTATCATTTTATTATATGATGTCGTAAATTTATGTAAAAAATAGCATGTCATAAATTATATATCATAAGAATATTATGATTTTACGTAATAATGCATGTCAATAAAATATGTGTTACAAATGTTTATTAACTTTGTATTATTGTACCTATATCATGCATATATTTATACATATATGTATAAATTATAACACTTATATCTTGGAATTTATTTATGCACTTGAGAAACTTACTACCTATTTAAGCGAGCAACATACACTATTACGGATATAATGAACTTAATCGGCTTTTATAGAGAAACTTTATCGTATACCTTAATTAATGGTATTTATAGTGAGACGCTATTCATTACCTAAGTTTAACCACTTAGTATATACTCTCGGCTATGAACGTTAATCCTCTAAGCGAGATACATATGTATACGGGTTGACACTCGCATCTACGGTTTCTAGCTACAACCTCGACGGATCATTCATAGTGAGTGATAATTATCTTTAGTCTTTATCTACTGGGTCTAATGAAGCGTCGTATGGGGTTATATCTAGTCATATAGCTCGGTTATAGGAATAACTATAAGAATCAATTAGATTCTTTATCCAGAAGCCACGGATTCAGTTTCTCTTTTTAACAAACACTTTCAAACATAGTTTTAAATACAAAAGAAATATGTTTTTAGATTTTTCAAGAAGTATTATTACTATAGTTGACAGAAAACATGTAACTCTCAATAACCTTTTTGTTGACTCTCAAACCTCTAGTTTTTTGTAATATCGACCTATCTGTTAAGAAATATTCATGAACTTATTATTATTATTTGTATGAACCATGTATTTGAACCTACAAGTGGAATCTAATTGCTTTGTTGTTATTGATGTACTTGTGATGTATATTCAACTCGTTTGTGATCCATAAACTAAGTCGCACATCCTGACATTGGATAATTTTATTCTACTTCTCTTCTTCTAAGCTCTGAAGAGGTTTAAAAGACCAAATTAACCTCAATATAACAAGTTCATATGTATTCCTATAAGAAAAGTAAAATGATACAATTAGGTGTATGGTTGAGAGATAGTTAGAGATGATGAGAGTTAGAATAAAAGAAATTGTCGGCACCTGAAGATTCAGAATCAGATGCTTCTCAGCAAGAGAAGCAATAGCCAGTAAGAACTGGCATCGATTTCAGTCTACAGTAATGTCTAGATCTGGAAACCAAGCATATCGTTAAATGGAGCAAGTAGCGTAACAACATCCATACCTAACATTTTATACATCTCAACATACCTTCTCAAGTGCTTCTACTTCGATCATAACCAACCTAACACCACCACCATTACAACTGCCAGCACATCATGTGAAAGAAACCCTAATTGTCCGCCATTTACACAATCAGCGAACTTCCATTCAAAAGATTTTTCGTTATGGCCCGATAAAATAGGATCAGAACTATCGATTGAGATTGGAGTATCGATAATTCATTGGAATGAAGATGGAGTGAATAGTGAGGGTTTCCAATTGGGGAAATGATTAAAAGAGTGAGAAATAGGGTTTGAGAGTGAGAGAGTATCGAGTGTGTGTATTGATCGTGAATCCGTGATATTATCCCTTTCCAAATCAATTAAAAATTAAAATATGTTAAAGTATTTAAGTTGGAAATTGTTTACAATTATAAAAGGTATTTGCTTTCTAAATACTCCAAAATTACCTCCATTTTTTTCATTAATCTCTATTTTTTTTACTATTTATTTTATTGTAACAATTTTGTTTTATGATTCATTCTTTTAAGACTATTTGTTTCAAATATATAAAATATAAAAAATGTAAACATATAAAAAATTTCAATTTTTGTTTACATCATGATTCATTAAGTTTTATGGGTATTTTTTTATGTTAAACAAAATATAGGAAATTGATATATGAAATATAACAAAAAATTTAATATTTCAGTAAAAGATGGTCATACTACTATTCGAGATTTTTCTGCTATGCGAAGTGTTTACATATGGTGGAACATATTAGCTATTCGAGTTTTATATGTGTCGGATAACATTGAAAATAAAAGAGTCTTGATTTGGATGATTGATCGGAAATAAAAGAGTCTTGATTTGGATGATTGATCGGAACATAAGTATGAATACAATAAAATGAATATGTCATCTTTTATCTAATGTTTTGTTTATAATTTACATAATTGTTATTATATTAAATATCCAGAGAGACAAAATGATTGCTATTGTCCCACAATGTTTGAGGCAAATAGTTTTGAACATGAATTTGGTTGGAAGAATGTTGTTCTTAAATGATTTCCAAGTTGATTATTTTTACGAAAATCACCCCACGTATCAAAGTTACAGAATTTTCTTTGGTGATTGGGCAATAGTGATAAAAAGTAATGCAATATTTACACGCTTGTCAAATGATATTGACAATTCATTTCCACAATATTCGTTGTGTTCTTCTATTACAAGTCTCGCAAGAAATCTTGGCCATCAAAAAATGATGATCGGTACATTTATATATATTTAATTATATATATATATATATATATATATATATATATATATATATATATATATATATATATATATATATATATATATATTATAAATTGCATACAACAAATAAAATTATACTAATTTTCGTATGGTTTAGATGTTATTGGAAAAATCGTTTGAGGAAGACGAATGAGGCCATTTTATGCATTTGAACTATTTCTCCAAAATACGGTGTAAGTATATAATAATATAATACTTTATTTTATAAATTTACTAATCAACTTTCATTGTTATTATGTGTTTTAACAACTTTTTGTTTAAATGAATAGGGGCATATTATAAAGTTGATGTTCAATCACGTACCAAAGAGCCTTATGATACCATTGTATCTTACGATATTTAATCAATCCATAATTTATGTCTGTAAGGTGAAGTTGGTCAACCTAAATTTGTGTAAGTCAACTAGGGAAACATTATGTATAGTTTCATTCTTTACATATTAATTACTTTTATATACCATGTTAATTGTATATTACATGTCCTTACAGATAATTTATTGGTTTCTACTTCATTAACTGATGTCACATTGGAACCAAGAACACCGGAAGCGGAGAGGATAAGAATTAGATATAGGGAAAATATCTAATTTTACTATAGTTGTTTGTTTGCGGATTATTTGATAGTTAATTGGATTTTTAGGTGGTTATTTGTTTTGGTAGTTTTTGATATTTATTTCCTTGCAGATTTTTTGAAATGGGCTTTTACTCCGTTTATTGAATTAATAATTTTTAGTTTATAAATTTAGTTTCTTTGTTTGACTATTTTTTTATATTATTTTATTTTGTTCTTTCTATTTATAGGATACTTACGTTGTGGTATATTAATTAAAACAAATATTCTACCAAAGAAAAAATACAAATATTATTTAAATATTAACTAATCAATATGCATTTATCCAATTATTTAAGAAAAAAAAACTATTGAAACCCGTAAAGAAATATATACCGAAAAAAAATTAATGAAACTTGAAACAAATACATATTGCATAATGCAAACAAGCCTCGAAAAGATAACATGAAAAACAAAAACCGATAAAACATTACTTAAATTATTGAAAAAAAACTATATAATTTAATGCAAATATCAATTTCATAAATAAAAATTTAGTTCAACTCAATCAATGTTCTGAGTAATACGGTTATAAGTATTGTATATAAGAATCGTTTTCATTGTTTTCATTAAGTTGTGTTATGAAAAAAAAAAATCAATTTATATATTATTATTTTTACGTTTTTACAGTTGGCATGGTAATTGTAGACAAGGAAAATAAGTCTAATGATGTCATTCGACTAGACGTAAATACACATAAAGGTACATTTGATGTGTGCAACATGATTATTACTTTAATATTATGAATAATTCATCAGAAACAAAATAATGCAGAAAAAAGAAAGCATATAACAAGACGTCTTATGAACGACGAAAGGAGAATAACAAGATCAGACGAATAACCGATGGAAATGTAAGTAGACAAAACGTGACACATATGACAAATTTGTGCACAACCGAGGGGATCCTAACGGATATTACAAATAAAAATCCTACAAATTTATTGGATGCTGCTCAAAGGAGGTCGATTCATAACAGACAGGCCTATCAACGACGAAAGGGGTGAAACTTAGCGACAACCCCTAAAGAAATTCTACAGGAGGATCCATATGACTTTGTTTATAATGGTATCCCTAAAGAACATCGTGTCTTGAAGGGGCAAAAATCATGTGTTCATTGTGGAGCAAAACGATTCCAATTTGAATTCCCTACCTTTTGTTGCATGGGTGGTAAAACAAAGTTGACACATTCCTTTATCCCAGAAGAATTACTCGAACTCTTCACATCTCGAAATGAATTAGGCAAGACCTTTAGACACATGATACGAGCATACAACAGCAACTTTTCATTTGCATCAATAGGCATGAATGTGGATAAGACAATGACAAATATGACATCTAGAGTATACACTTTTTGTGTGAATGGAGGAATATATCATAGAATCGATCATTTAATCCCAAGGGATGGAAAACCTTAGTACTTACAGTTGTATTTTTATGATGCTGATTATGGGATGTCACGTAGACTCAAATGGAAGAATATTGATAAACAAATTGCTCAAAAGTTGATCCGTGTTCTTGCCACAAACCCATACGTGCAAATATTTCGAAGTCTTTTTGATCTAGGTCCGCTTGACAATTACAGAGTCACTTTGAATGCATCAGTAGAACTTGACCAAATGGTATACAACAGACCGACCACATCCGAGGTACCATAATAATTATTGTCTATTAATTATAAAATAAATATATCATGTATGACATACAAATGTATATATTACACACTATATTTGATCATATCGTTTCCGTAATAAAAATTATAGGTCACTGGTATTTGGATTGAAGGTAACGACAACATAGCTGCATATAAACGAAGTATTATCGTGTATGGCAGATCCGACAAACCACGAACAATTCAATCTTACTGGGGATGTTATGATCCATTGTGTTATCCTTTATTTTTTTCCTAATGGCGAGTTTGGATGGCATTCTAATATCCCAAGACATGGATTTCCCATCAATAATATTATTAACGACGACGATGACATCCATGATGATTTAGAAGGTACACATATCCTAACTTTTTAAATTTTAGTTAAATTTACAAAGATTACATGTTTGTATAAATCATTAATTTTTTTTTCACGACATCAACATTGTGTAGACTCTAATACAAAAGGAGGGTGGAATACTGTAAGTATGCAAGAGTACTATTGCTATAAGTTTCAAATCTGGTCAAATTATAATGTAATTTTGTTGGGAGGGAGATTACTACAACAGTTTGTAGTAGATATCTACATCAAGCGTGAGACTTCACGTTTGGAGTTTTGTAGAAAAAACTAGTCAAAAATAAGAGCAGATTTATACCAAGGTGTTGTGGACTGTGTTAATGCCGCTGAGGTTCGATCGAATATGATAGGGCAACGTGTTGTGTTGCCTGCAAGTGTCATCGGAGGCCCATGTGACATGCGGCGACAATTTCTTGATGCCATGACTTTAGTTCAAGATGACGGGAATCCTGACATATTTCTTACAATGACATGCAATCCAAATTGGCCGGAAATAAAAGATGAGTTACTCCCTTAGCAGACAGCTCAAGATCGACCGGACCTTGTGTTAATAGTTTTCGTGCTAAGTTATAGGATCTTAAGAAACAACTCTTCACGAAGCACGTCCTCGGCGTGATGGGTGCGTATGTTTATGTCATTGAGTTTCAAAAGCGGGGTTTGCCACATGCACATTTCCTATTGATAATGATGCCTCCATATAAGCTTACTAATGCAGATGAGTACGACAAAATAGTATGTGCTGAAATTCCAGACCCGATAAGGCATCCTAAAATGCACCAATTGGTCGTCTCACACATGATACATGGTCCTTGCGGTGGCTTAAACTCTGACTGTCCTTGTATGAATAATGAGCAAAAGAAAGGTCATTTTAGATACCCTCGACAATTCAATGCAACCACCATACAAGGAAAGGACTCTTATCCCATGTATCAAAGGAGAGATAATAGTATAGAGGTGGACATACGAGGAAATAAGATGGATAACAGATGGGTGGTCCCGTATAACCCAAATTTGTTGATGATGTTTAACTATCATATGAATGTTGAGGTCTGCTCGAGTATTACCTCTGTGAAATATGTGTTTAAGTATATTTACAAAGGTCATGATAAACAAGTTATCAATATTGATCCGGATGGAGAACCTATTGTTATTGATGAGATAAAACGGTTTCAGGATACACGATATGTCTCGCCTCCCGAGGCAATATGGAGGATTTTCAGCTTCCCACTTTCTCAGATACACCCTTATGTGATGGATTTGCATGTACATCTCCCAAACTAACAGATGGTTAGGTTCAGTGAGGATGATACACTGACTAGCGTTGTTGAAAATGAGGAAGATAAGAGATCAATGTTGACTGCGTTTTTTTCTAGAAAATAAAGAAGATATTCATGCAAGAGAATATAAATACAAAGATTTTCCTAAAAAGTTTACGTGGGATCCGAATTCACGTCATTGGAATCACCGAAAACTAGGATTAATGCGAGGTCGTTTGATTTCTACTAATCCTGCTGAAAGGGAGCGATACTACCTTCGCCTACTTTTATTGCATATTAGTGGCCCTACGTGTTTTGAAGATCTCTATACGGTGAACAACGTAAAACACCCAACATTTCGAAAAGCAACTCTTGAAAGAGGGTTAATAGAGTCTGATGATGGTTTATCACAATGTCTTACAGAGGCTTCTTTCTTTCAATTTCCTAGTGCTCTTAGAAGGTTGTTTGCAACGATATTGAGTTTTTGTGCGCCAGGGGATGTTCGTAGGTTATGGGATGACCACTACAATGCTCTTTCAGAAGATTATAGGCAACAATATGGAAGTGTTGAATGAGTCCAGAATATGATCCTCACTTACATCATGACATTCCTACAATCTATGGGTGACGATATTGATAATTTTGATCTTCCAAAGATAAATCAAAATGTCGATTTAGATTTTGGAGAGTTTTTCGTGATGTACAAGAAGAATGCTCTATAGTTTTAGAACCTGAACATTTACAAGCCCGAGATTTTCTCAATCCTTAACAGAAATGTACGTATGATGAGGTAATGCAGCATGTCCATAATGATATTCCAGGAATTTTCTTCATAGATGGTCCCGATGGAACTGGAAAAACGTTTTTGTACAAAGCTTTACTTGCTAATATTCGTTCATGTGGTCATATTGCACTCACAACCGCTTCTTCGGGTGTTGCGGCTAATAATATGCCATGGGGGAGAACAGCTCACTCGCTCCAATCAATCTTGAAAATAACTCGATCTGCAAGATTTCAACACAAAGTGGTACTGCTCAACTACTTAGGACTGCAAAAGTAATCATTTGGGACGAAGCGTCTATGGCTAAAATACATGCATTGGAGGCACTTGATCGTACAATGAAAGATATCACTGTTGGGTTATGAGCATTCTAACACTCCTAAGTGTACATGCAACCCTAAATACCTTGGATCTATGTTTTCTCTATTATACATGCAAATATGAACATCCAAGGTATTATCCTAATCTAGCATACAAAATAATGGATATAACAAGATAGAATACATACCTCATTGATAGTGCTTGTCTTCATGAAGCTTGAGTGCTTAGTGCCCCAAGTGTGACACCTCAAATGGTTCACACAACACCATAAGCACTTGGAATAACTTGAGAGAAATTAGAACACTTCATGAAATCGGTTAGCCCTCTCTAGAATAATCTAGTAACCGATTTTGGGAAGAATAATATCTTTATATAGTGTTACAATTAGGGTAAACCCTAATTGTCATGACTTTCCATTTCCTTGGATCCATGGGTTCAAATACACCATGGAGCATCCATGGAGCATCATATGGGTTTTGGCCCAACTAGATAATCCATGGAGCATTAGCCCACTATATAAGTATGGATGATTTACACAATCAACCCATATATTTAATTAGTCTTCTTTTGATCACTTAATTAATCCTAGATTAATTCTTGATCAATACTAATTAAATAATCTTATTATTCTTATTATTAATATACTAGAACTTATAATATATTAATAACCATAAGTGTCTTATTTCTCTCATTATAGTCTATCCAAGTGCATGATGCCATGCAACCCAAATGGACCATGCCGGGTCGGGTCAAGTCTTACCAATTATAGTTATGGACTTAGACATTAATCCAACAGTCTCCCACTTGGATAAGTCTAAAACTATTATTGCGTATGACTTCAGGAACCAACTAGCAATCGTAGCTCTCAAAAGCTTCTGTCGAACTCTGACCTTGTAGATGAACTCTGATCTTTGTCAACGACTTGTCCATTAGATAAGGGATCATATATTCCTCCATTCTAGATATCATATGGACTGAGACATGGATTATAATCATTCTCTCTGTCCATTTGTTGTTTCCCGATTTCCGATTTATGACGACTGACTAATTGAACAAATCAAATCAGTCCTGGCCCGGCCGAGCACTTCCATTTGTCATCATCAAATCATCGAGGGGCCCACAGATATCGCTTTCATCCGAAGGTAAAAGGAATGGATAAACTTCGACTCATATGGCTTGTTCTACTACTTGTTGAATCATACACAAAGACACGTTTTATAGCACCGAGTTACCAAATGCAGTTTCGTGCAATCAATGTACAACCAACTCATAGTAACAACTCATATCTCTAGGTTTGAAGAATATAAGATATTATCGTCTCATGATCACTCGTGATAAAATCCATGAAGTGATTCCAATGAGCGCGGGTTGAATCCAATACTCAGAACTTATGAGCACTCATGAGTGTTGTAGCCATTTGTCCAACAACTTAGACCTCTACAAGCCAACCATGACAGTCTTAATTCATATCTACTTCCAACATATGACCGACTGTGGATGGTTTGAATAACTTAGTCATTCCGGAAGAATAACCTAGTTTATTGGGAAGTCAAAACATGCAAAGTGAAACACAATAATAATTGAATCCAATATGGTCTCAGAACTTATGAATATAAATAAAACTCCTTTTATTTATCACCATATGATTACACATTATTCATTGTATATTGTTTCAGCTATCAACATTATTCTTGAATTTAAAACAATAGTTGTCCCATGCTCCAAGCATGTACACTATGTTTTCTAAACAATAGTCATGCCATACACCAAGTATGCATACTATGTTTGTCTATGATCTTTACTTTGTGAACTAGATCAATTGAACATAACTTCAATGATTCTCTTTTCACACTCCCAAATCCTTACTGCAAATGCAAGAATTCCAAATTCATGTCATTTACTGAAATCTGTTAGATTCTAAACTTATATGCACCGATCCTCTTGTAATGATTATGCACAAAGTCAGAAAGACTTAACAACAATCATTACAGAGCATTCCAAAGAAGATCAAGTGCTTGGAACCATCCTTCTTGCATTAAGTTTCCTTAATCTTACACAGATTGAAAATTCTAACTTTGAAACATTTCCAGATTCCATTTTGACTATCACTTCTGAACAAGAGTTGCCTCCTTACAGATTATGTCAATATGGTCCTTCCAGAATTATCACTACACTTCCAACTGTCCTTGAGCAACCAATCTTTGGTAAACCTTAGATTGTCCTCGACAATTGTTTAATCTTTTTAGTCATATCCAGTTCTAAACCTTTTCCCTTCTTAATGCCCTAGACATTCGGAAATTTTTAGAAAGGATGAATATAGCACATGTAATCGATCCTATATCCGAAGCATATGGGACACGATTCACGATGTCTCACATAAAGACTAAACCAGTCTTTTGCTATAACATTTCCATTTCAATTTGCCAAGTTCTCATAATTCAGATTATGAAAAGGGATGCCGTAATCATAATCGAATTTAAGAACGCAAATAATGGACCCATATACAGAATTTCCTTATGTTGAGCCATTCCAACATGAAATTCATATATATCCTTGACTAAATGATTAAAACCTCACGATCTAAGCTTATAGATTTGAGATGAAGTATAATTTCCTCTCCCTTAATTATAGCAAAACAACTCTTTCCCAGTTGAAACTTTTGTTTTCTATAATTAACATTGCTAACTTGCGATACTTATCGTAATTATCATGCTCCCACTAACATGATGATTATTAGCATAACACTTATGCTCCCACTAGCTTTGACATGTACTCAGAAAGCTCGACTTTTAGAAATCAATACTTTATTGACTTTCTGACCAAAGTTCAGATTTCTGATACTAGATTGTTTTGATAAGACTTTATCAAAAACATACACCTTACCTTAGATAGCTCATGGGTGTGTCAAAACAATTTTAAGAACTATGAAAAGGGATGCCGTAATCATAGTCTTGATCGTTTTGACCTTTGCCATTTCTCACAAGTCCAAGTTAGTGTGTCGGTAAACCACACACGCTCCACTAACGACTTTGAGAATGCAAACATCACAATTGCTATCTAGCTAAAATCTACTTAGTGAAAGTGTTTCCTCACCATCATTTTCATGAATCGGAGAGAAACCTTATGACACTTAGATTTAATGGTGTATGTGTTCTTATCCATGTGAATTGTCAAAACCATAGTCACAAGACAAGGATAATGACAAATCCAAACTCATATGGACTGAACTCAATCTTAATTTCTTGCCACCTGGCAGCTCAGGGCCTACCATTGCTTCCAAGTTGTTGTGCAACACATTGAGAGCTCTAAGAACTCATATGCAAAGCCAACTTTAACTGGAATGGGCACATAATATGTCAACACGATAGGTTATAAACCTTAAGTCGTGTGCTAGTGAAGAACTTTAGGTTTCATTCTTGATTAGTTATTGAGACTTTCAAGACCTTTAAGACTCCCACTGTCCTCTTGACATATAAGACTCTCTTGTCAGATATTCAAGAGATAGTGTGGATTCTAATCAAGACAAACACTTCACACAATTGGCCTTAGTTGGTCTTTGTTTTATCCAAAACATCACAACTTACCAATTTCAAATGTACAAGAGTAGAAAACTTTTACTCTTACATTTGTCAAGTGTTTTAAACCTTCTTTAAGACATGTCACTCAAATTACAATCTTGGAGTATGACTCTAAGACTTGTATTGGAACGAAGTATGACTCATCTTCTTGATTTAACCATTTCAACAATTTCAAGATCCCTTCTTCTTAGTCATAAGAATGCACTAAGATTTCCTTAGAGAACTAATTTTGATATGGTTTCTTAATCATTGAGATGATCACAAAGCTGATATTAAAGTACTCTCCCATCTTTTCAGATTTGAGAAACTTTTATCCTTCTGCCTAATTTGATTCTTCTTATCCGCTCTGCTATGCATTGGAACCTTTTCCAATGTCTCAGAGTTACACTTAAGCTTGTAAGTATAATCATATTTACTAAACTCTAGTAAAATATGACGAATAGCCTTATATCTTTTGTGGTGGACTTAATCAGTTCACATGACTATGTACTCGATACCTTAGTCCATTACTTGACTCACACATCCATGTGAATAAGTAATTAGTCTTAATTTTTCCAATACTTGAAAAGTTCTCATTCATCATGCTATACAACTTGTATGATTCCAAGTCCCGGTCCAATTGAAACTTGGGTGATGAGAATCTTTCCTTTATTTGATAAATTTAGACATTACCACAAATGAAAGAATCAATTTCATACTTCCACTCTTGCTATTAATGGAATCGTATAAGCAACAATTTTTCCTCAAATGCCATTGTAAGGTTATTTTAAAATAAATATAACCAAAGTTTTTTTTTATTTTAAAACTATGCGGAAAAACTTATCCTTACAACCCATATGAAAAAAATTGTTGTTATCTATTCCTTAGCAATATCTCATAACTCCTAAGAATTAGC